ATTACTACCAGAACGAAGAAGAAATCAGACTAAATTTTCCCTTCCGTTCGATCGCAAATGTACCCAAGTGTGCAAATATTAGATAATATTTCATAAGTTTTTCCCAGTTTAGAAAAAAATCACGTGACATGAAATTAAAGGAGCAGTTTTCCTGCACACGTGTTTCTAGCCCATTGACTTTGTACATGTTTTTGAGCGACAATTTTGGTAACTTTGCAGTCTTTGATCATTCCCAAAGTGATAGCCAAGGAAGACCCTGATGCAAGATTTATTGCAAAGGGATGACGTCAGGATGACATCATCACCTTATTTTATATTCATTTTTGAATATTTAATTTTTCCCCATAGGTTTTGTACACGTTTTTCTACTTAACACAAGTGAACAAGTAGTCTTTAACTTCAGCACAAGATTACTATAAGAACAAAGGGGAAATTTGGTACTTTACGCTCTGTTATTTTGTTTGAAATATGCCTAAGANTTTTTCTACTTAATAAAAGTGAACAAGTAGTCTTTAACTTTGGCGCAAGATTACTATCAGAACGAAGGAGAAATCGTGTACTTTACGATGTGTTGTTTTACTTGTAATATGCCTAAGAGTCTGAATATGAAGTAATATTTCATAAAATTGTTCAGTTTAAGCGCAAATCATGTGACACGAACTTAAAAGAGCAATGTTGCTCCAAATGGGTTTTTTGCCCATTAACTTTGTACACGTTTCCAAGGCACAATTTTGAACCCTTTCGGATGTTTGATCGTTTTCAAAGTGACAGCCAACAAAGATCTTGATACAGAAATTATTGTAATTAAATGACGTCATGATGACGTCGTCCTGTGATTTACTCTTGTTTTTTCAATATTTATTTCAGCCCCTTGACTTTGTACACGTTTTCAAGCCAACATTTGGGTAAGTTTGAGAGCTTTGATCAACTTCAAAGTTACAGCCAACAAAGACCCTTATGCAAAGACACGTCCAAATGTATGACGTCTTGATGATGTCATCATATGACTTATTATTAATTTTTCAATATTAATTTCAGCCTCGTGACATTGTACTTGTTTTCGAGGCACTAAATATTCCTTTAAATGTATACAAACCCATATAAAATCAACCGTGCCCTCTGCAACATTCTGTTTGCAGCAAGTGCCAGGATAAAATGTGGTCTTGATTTCGTCATTTTTACTCTCTCAAAGTTTCTTCATGCCATTTTTTTCCATCACATTTGCTAATACTTATTTTGTTGGTAAGACAGTCCCGAAACAGCTCTGTGTTTGTACTTGCTTACAAACACTTCTCTCTAGTTGTTTTTGTTTTTTTTCTTCTTCTTTTTCTTCTTGTGCCCATGCCTTTGTACACAGTTTTCTCCACGGCAGTGTAGTCCCTTAGCAAGGGTCAATCTTCATCAAAGTTGCCTTAAGCAAAGACCCTATTGCATAGATATGCCGCTAAGCATGACGTCATGATGACCTCATCAAGTGATTTTTATTGAATTTTTAGTATTTATTTTTCCCCATATGTTTTGTACATGTTTTTAAACAGCTAGAATGGTCTAGATTTGGCCACCTCAGAAAATAAAACTTGGTACAAGCAAAGACCATTAGCATCGATTAATGGAGAAGTGTGACGTCACTTTGGCATCATAATTAGAGTTTTAATTTAATTTTGAAGATTTAATTTCTCCCACTGACTTTGTACACATAAAATCCAATGACTTTACATTCAGTTTTGCTACAGGGCTTACGCAAGTCCGTTGCACGATCAGCTGACTTGTGCCGTGATATCAGTCGATGTTATTGGTTGTCGCACAGTCTTTGCATGATTTCTAGATAAATTTGGCTAGAATTGTGAAAAAATTGGTTTGTGAAAAACATGGGTTCGATTGGGATGATACTTTTGGGGTCCAGAAAACTTGACTGTTTGCAAACTCAATTTCGGACACTTGACTGTTGAGACAACTCGACCGTCCGTGCGTAAAAGGGAGAGACAAGTCGTCCATTGTGACACTGTCCCATGTGTTTTCTTGGGTCCTCTTGGGACTTCTTGGACCTGGAAAACACCTATTGAGTTTTTAATGGATTTTGCTTGATCAGAGGATAATCCCATAAAAGCTGAACTGAAACCAAATTCATGCACTGGCGCAAGAAATTGCAGAAGGAGTTGACACTGAATAGGCATGGTCACAATGATCATGCGCAAGGGTGCACGTAGTATTGCGGTGGGCCGCTGCGTTTGGAGGCTCGATGGATGATGTGCTGGAACTGGTTCTGGTAGGCAAAAGTATACGTATTACAAAACATTCTCAACTTGCAAGTTTTTGTCTGCACTTTCTGTGCTCAGAGGCAGTGATGTCAGGGAAACAAAACTCATTCAAGTTAGCTTTGAATTTGCACTGACATATCCCGAGAAACTTGAACTCTGCAAATGGCCTTTTTAAGATTTAGATATGGTCACCTTATGTTCAAGTGATGAAAAAGGGTATCAATAGTGGTTATGTAACTAGTGCTACATGTTCAGCACAATTGAGTGATCAATTACTCAATGGTTTTAGAATGATGAATTTTATTCAAAGGCATGTCAAATCAGGATGGAGCACAATACATGTACATACTGTACATGTGCAAGTTTTATGATTGCGCTGAACATAGGTGCCATCAAATTGACTAAAGTCCTTCATGGTGCACACCGTATTCCATAACTTTGCCTCCAAGGACAAGCCGTGTTATTGAAGGTAGACCTGACTGAAGCCCCTCACGGTCCATATCGTATTACGTAACTATGCCCCCCCAAACATTTATGAAATTAGAATGTAGACCTATAGTTATTTATACATGTCGATATGTACCGTGAGCGGATTACACAAAATAGTTGAATTTCCATATTTTACTTCTTACATACATATAGGTGCACTTTGCTGGAGTGAAAGCTAGAGATAAATCTGTTCTCCAAGTCAGTTCCAAGCAATGGAATTCAATGTCATGAGGCACAAGTACAATAGAGGAAGCTGCTGTACGTACCACAAAGCAAGGAAATTAACAGGTGATGATGAAAAGGCCTACAGTTGCTTACAGACAAATTGCTAGATCTGATTTATGCAGTCATGATGTTGTGTACAATATATGTTTGTGGGGGGTACATCCATGTATCACCATTATAAATGGTCCCCCCAGGCCAACATCGATGTGCCTGGTCCTCCACTTTTTAACATTTAGGTCCCCATGTACTCCCCATTTTATGAGAACACAAGGTTGCTATGCCATTGAATACATATGCACATGTATGCTTTAATTGCACGTATTCAAGTTCTGACACAAGTTTTCCCATGCATCAACCATAGAGCTACTATGCATCAACACATGAACTGCTGCACCTGTAATAAACACGTTTGCCCTTGGCAATGAGACAGATGTTAATTAGACATGAGGGCAGTCTTCACACAGTGGCCCCAGTATCATTGATGGATAAGAGCAGTCGAAGCAAGACTGATCATGAGAAGGATGAGAACAGCTCCATCAGTCTACTGGTAGCAAGACTGCAACCAACTGGAAGTGAGATTTACTTGTATGTATACATGTAACAGCTAAAATTTATTGAAAAATTGCAGAAATTATTCAAACTGGTTTTGGAAGAATAGTGCAAAGTTTTCAGCATTCAGAAGATCCTGATATTTTCAGTTGATTCCCATGTTATTTGAAATGTCTGGAAATCTTCATAATGGAAGAGAAGTTGGCGGGTTTTATATCATACACTTCAGAGAAATGTATGCCCTAAAACGTGAGAGCAGATTTGTGCTTCATTTTGTGAAAACACTCAATGTGCGTATTTCGTTGTTCCCCAAAAGACAAAACTATATTATTACTGGTTCACAGTGTTTGATTAGTAACATGTTGCTATCAGCTGAATATTTTAATTTCCTTATTTGTTTTTTGTGTCTAGGCACCGTTCATGCTGCAGCTGAAGTGAAAGCCACATGTTTAGAATTCAACGTAACTGCAGTTACATGTACATCAGAAGCACAGACATCCACATTGGAGGAAGCTGCTGCACAACTAAGCAAGGAAATTAACAGGTGATGGTGAGAAGGCCTAATGTTGCTTCACATACAGACAGATTGCCAGTTCTGATTAATGCAATCATGAATCAAAGTTTGTGTGTACAGTGTATATGTGTGTGTGTTCATCCATGTACCACCAACACTAATGGTTCCCCTATGAACAGCTACTGCCTGCCCCCCGCTCCCCTTTAACATAGAGGTCCCCACATACTTCCTATTTAGTGAGAACGAAAGTTTTCAGTATTCAAAAGACGCTGATAGTTTCAGTTGGTCCCCATGTCATTTGAAATGTCTGTAAATTTTCATAATAGAACAGAAGTTGGCATTTTTTGTATGATATACTTCAGCCCTAAAACAAAAGACAAGATTTTGTGCTGCGCAGATTTGTGCTTCATTTTTTTCAAAACACTCAATGTGCATATTTCATTGTTCCCCTAAGAGACAAAGCTATACTGGTTCACAGTGTTTGATTATTTACATGTTGATGTCAGCTGAATATTTCAATTTCATTATTTGTTTCTTGTGTCTAGGCACGCTTCATACCGCTGCTGAAGTGAAAGGCACTTTTGGAATTCAACACAACTGCAGTTACATGTAGACAGTGTTGTAGTTGAGACCATCGCAAGACCCGCAGACACAAGACCAGACACAAGACCATCGCAAGACCCGCAGACACAAGACCAGACACAAGACCATCGCAAGACCCGCAGACACAAGACCAGACACAAGACCATCGCAAGACCCGCAGACACAAGACCAGACACAAGACCATCGCAAGACCAGCAGACACACCAGACACAAGTCCATCGCAAGACCCGCAGACACAAGACCAGACTCGAGACCATGCATGAGACCGTGCCTAAGACCAGTCACAAATAAGAGGGTGAACAATGACAAAGGAATCTTTTGTTGCAGTTCATTTGAATAGCTTGTGACTTGAATTCAGACTGGAGGTCTTGTGTTGGTCTTGTACTGGTCTCGACTGGTCTTGTGAAGGTCTTAAGTGGTCTCGACTACAACACTGCATGTAGATCAGGTGCACGGCTATCCACTCTGAAGGAACCTGCTGTACAACAAAGGAAAGAAATTAACAGGTGAAAGTGAAAGGCCTACTGTTGCATTGACATACAGTTTGCCAGTTCTGATTAATGCAGCCATGAATCTAAGTTTGTATGTGCAGTGTATGTGGGGGGGGGTTTGCATCCATCTACCACCAACATAAATGAACAGCCATGTGCCTGCCCCCCCTTTAACATTAAGGTCCCCACATACTGCCCAGTTAATGAGAACGCAAGGTTGGTGTGCCAATGAATACATGTGCCATGTACGCTGTATTGGCACGTGTTCATGTTCTAACAGGGGTGTGTTTGTTTGTGTGTGGGGGGGGTTTACATCCATGTACCACCATCATAAATGGTTCCTTCATTAACAGATGACAGAAGAATTTTTACCAGCACAGTACACAAAGGAAGTCTTTTGACACGGTGGTGTGGTTGATGGAAATGCATTTCATTCCGAGACTGTTCTGCAGAAGGACTTAATCAGTATCCAGGGCAAAAAAGTCGTTACCGTGATTTATATAACATACAATAGTTAAATGCCCTAAAGCACAAATGCAGTTCTTCTCTTTTCCTTTATACATAGTAAGGACAGTTTAATATTCTTTAACTGATAATCCCTCAACTTCTGGACCAGTTTCACTGTTCAGTATTTTGAGTGTTGTTAAAGTAAGCATATCCCCGATCGGGCAATCTGTGCATCAAATCATCTTATGAAAAAACTGAAGTGCGCTCTCACATGATGAAATTCCACGTTTGTATTACCTGACTGATCATTTGATTAATTCCCTGTGTTTGACCATAGTATAGAGAGCGTAAGAAGTACGGAGTGAATTAAATTAGGCATTAGAATTTGAAACAACTATTCATGAAATCATTCGTCTTTAAAGTAGGCAAGGGAAACATACTGAATTTGTTTCTGAGGTCACAATTTAGGTCATCTTATTCCAAACAGGTATTGAAGAGATGTTGATTTTGTGTTTCGCGTACAAATTAAATGGAACTGAAGTCTAAGGTTTGTGGAGTCTGTTAGTTAAATTTGTATCTGTATTATGTAAAGAGTGTAGTGGGCCTTCACTTGATGGAAGTCAACAAGGTGTATTTATTATGACAGTCATTATGATAACTAGTGACAGAACTGTTACAGACGAAAATTAACTATTGCGTGAGAATGACGTCATTAGCAGTCACATGATATTAAGGTGCACTCTTTGAAGCCCTTTATCTCCAAAAGTACATGTCCCAGCGGGTTGAAACTTAGCAGATGTGTGGTAGGGTATGTGTGATAGGTGAAAATTAACTTCATGGAATGATGACGTCATCAGTTTACAAGTCACGTGATATGATAGGTGCATCATTTAAAGACCTATATCTCCAAAAGTACATACATGTCCCAGTTGGTGTCCCAATTTTCGTCTGCGAAGTTTCACTTCGCAGACGAAAATTTACCTCATGGAATTATGATGTCATCAGTTGACAAGTCACGTGACATTAAAGGTGCATCCCTTAAAGCCTATATCTTCAAAAGTACATGTCCTAGCATGTTGAAAGTTAGCAGATGTCTGGAAGGAGATGTGTTACAGACAAAAATTGACCTCATGGAGTGATGCCATCATCAGTTGACAAGTCACGTGACATTAAATATACATCTTTTAATGTTCTATATCTCCAAAGGTACATGTCCCAGTCGATTGAAACTTGGCATATATCTGGAAGAGGATGTGTGATAGTGGAAAATTTACCTCATGGAATGATGACGTCATCAGTTGGCAAGTCACGTGACATTAAAGGTGCATTCTTTAAGCCCTGTCTCTCCAAAAGGACATGGCCCAGCGTGTTGAAAGTTAGCAGATATCTGGAAGAGGATGTGTGATAGACGAAAACTGTCCTCATGGGATGATGACGTCATCAGTAGACAAGTCCTGTGACAATAAAGGTGTATCCTTTAATGCCTTATATCTCCAAAAGTACATGTCCCAGCGGGATGAAAATTTGCAGATATGCAATCACGATGATGGCATTTTCAATGAAAAGCGAAAATGCCCTATGTTCTGTTGCAAACACACATAGAACCTCTTGTTTCTTCTTCTTCTGACCCAAATGCCATTTGTTTTGTGCATGTTTTTTCTGCCCAAGACTTTGGTCCCTCAGCAACTCCAGATCTTCATCAAATTATGTCAATGAACAACCCTTATGCATAGATGGTCCTAGAACAATGACGTCATGATGACGTAATCAAGGTAACGTCTTTATAAGTCCAGTATTTGTTTTGAACCATAATCACTTCAATTGTTGATAATTATAATAATTATATGCATGTTGCATTTTGGCTCAAAATGCTCATTATATGTATGTACAAGGGACCCATATTCACAAGTTTAGCTTCTTTTGGGCCCCCCTCAGTCTTCACTCTTGTTGAATCATTTTTGTCGATATTATGTACATGTATTTATTTGTGAACTCTGTGGAAATAAATGAAATGGAATGGAAATGGAAAGTAATTTATTATTGATTTTTCAATATTTATATCAGCCCATTGACTTTGTACACATTTTTGAGGCACTATTTTGACTTAGCAATATTTGATTGTTATCAAAGTTACACCAAGCACTCACCATAAAGTTAAGATAATACCGAAATATTTACATCATGATGACGTCATCAAAGGATTTATTATTGATTTTTCAATATTTATTGTAGCCCATTGACTTTGTACACATTTTGGAGGCACTATTTTCGTACCTTAGTAATCGTTGATCGTCATCAAACTTACAGCAAGCACTAAATATAAAACAAAGATAATTCTGATATATTTACGTCATGATGATGTCATCAAGTGATTTATTATTAAATTTTGAATATTTAAATATTCCGTTAAATGTATAAAAATCCATATACAATCAACCCTGGCCTCCCGCAACATTCTGTTTGGAGCAAGTGCGAGGATAAAATATGGTCTTGAATTCATTTTGTGTGGGTCTAATCACGTGACCCTTCCTTCCTGTCAAAACCGGAAGTGGCCTTATTGTTTAAAAGTGGTAACAAGTATCAAGTTGTTTTTGATGGTGTTAGTCTGTTGGGTCATAGTATTCTTCAAATCATCCACTGATAATGTCACCTAATTGTCGAGCGCCGTCTAGCGACAGGTTAAAAATTCCGAAAAATGCATTTTGAATAGATGTCAGTGGTGAAGTTTGTCCGAATCGCCTGAAAATTGATGTAGATTACCATCTGTACCCAGTCAACATGTTTGTGAAGTTTGGGGCTGATGACGTCATCAGACCGGAAGTTACAATAAAACTTCTTTTATTCTTCAAAATTCGGTAAAAAATCAACCGTAAGAGATATAAGCTTGAATTGTGCATGAGATGACAGCTAAAACAGTGAAGTCAACTGCATAAAGTGCATAACTGGTGCACTTTTTCACACACGTGAAGTGCTGTCGACTAAAAACCCCTAAAATATAAATTGCCAACTCCAAAATCCCATTAGCATGCTGTGCATACGCTACTGTGTGTGTGGACGCCCATTATCTGCTTGAACATAGACGGCGCACAGTGCGTAGGGCATACAGTTGGCAAACAGACAGATAAGCTCCAGTTTTCTTCTCTTTTTGTCTTTTTCGCAATTTTGCAAAAAAGGCATTAATTCTGTTCTTTTTGGGGGGGGGGCTTTTTTGCAATTTTGTGAAAAAGGCATTACCTTAAGACAGGAAATCTTTGCTTTCTGAAAGTCAAATTCTGCTTTCTTCGACTTTCTAAATTTTGTGTACAAAAACTGTATGTGACTGTACATACATGTATGTATCTTTGGCATAATACATGTAGGACCTACACGCACCATGCCACTGTGATCTTGGACTGGTCCCTGTCCCTATTGATTTATTCATAAGCTGTGAGACGTCTGGGCACTATGTAGGGAACGGGGACCTGTGTGATCCCCGCGGCGCGGAGCCAGAAGAAATCAATACCGATTTCTGCGATATTGCTAAGGAAAAATAGGAGGCGAAATGCTACCAAATGTTACTTTGAAAGTGAATTAAACAGTGAAAATGAGATCAAAAATATTTGTGTTATTTTTACAAGAATTGTGTTTTCCGCTTTCTACACCCAAATTCGCAATTTTTGCAGATTTTTCTCAAAGCGAAAAACTCTTGACTTTACATAACTTGTGTTCTTTTTTTTTGTTTTTTTTTCAACTTTGCAAAAAGGGCATTCTTTTTGTTCAAATTTTGTTTGGGCTTTTTTGCATTTTGTGAAAAAGGCATTCTTTTTTGTCAAGATGTTTCTTTTCTTGTTGGTGTTCTCTCCAAAACTCTGTTTCTTTTGCACACAGTTTTTCTTGGCACCACTTTTCTTGTGCCCTAACGCACAAATGCAGGTTTTCTCTAATATTTTTAATTGAGAAATTAGCAAAAAACGACTGGTGCGTAGGGGCCATTTGTTCGACCCAAGGACATTGAATAATGACATTTAAATAGTAAGGACACTTTAAGATTAACTTTGATACTCCTTCAACCTCTGGACCAGGTTCAATGTTCAATAATTTGAGTAAACATGTAGTTCTTAACATTCTTCTTCTGTAGTTCTTCATGCTTAAATTCCACATTTAGAGTTTGTGCTGCTGTGCACGCACAGATACAGTTGTGAAAAGTAATCACTTTGTCTAGTTACTGTCAAATAGGCAATAAGATGTACCTTAGAAAGAATTGTGTGAAATTGATGTTTGCATTATTTTTCTTCCCGTCTTTGAAATCAACATTTTTTAGTTTGTGTATATCAATGGCCTTAACAGTCGCAAATCTGAATCCGACGACTTTACATGGTCACGGTTGCAAATCTGTACACCATGTACACTGTACTGCAGTATATCCTCGTTCAGGCAATCAATCCCCTTTTGGAAAAACTGAAGTGCGCCCTCACTTGATGAAATTTCACGTTTTGTATTGCCTCACTGATAATTTCAGGCAAAAGTACGGAGTGAATTGAATTAAGCATTCGCATTTGGAAATAAGTGTTCATTAAATCAATTGTTGC